TCTGGACGGCAAGCCACCATTGCAAATCCTAGATACCGCATTCAATCTCCAAAGAAGTAATATGGAGACACCCGTGAGGGCCGAACCAGCCGGGTATAACCTGCAGTCCATGCGGAAGGGGGGAGGGGAGGGGGTATGGCTTGCAGTGGGAAGGTTAGTATAAGCATTTGCTTAGCAGGAGCGTCTGCCTCCGAGTAAACGTCGGCACACATCATCCACTAGACCAGTAAAGGATTCTTTCCCACGCCTTCAGAGCGTTTTGGGTACATAGGGCTAGTCTTATATGTTATAGACCAAACGGCACTTGGTGGCTGATGTGACCAGCATCACGCCGGCAGCACTAGACCAGTGGTCTCCAACCATTCTCAGGCCACTTCCTCCAACCCCCCTCCGACCCCTCCCCCACCACTCCACCCCTCCGACCCCTCCCCCATGAAGTACAGGCTTCAATTGAAAGTGATACCCAGGTACCTTAGTTTGCTTTCTTTTTTAATGTTCCTGTCATTACTAAACTCATTAACTTATTAACTAACTCACTAAGTATACATGTAAACGAAAGATACACAAAGAAAGACCTCCCTTCGCCTGGGGAAACGACCCTTTTAACTCTTTGAGTCCCAGGGGGTTTAGCATCAAAAGCTCAAGAGAAGTCAAGAGAAACTAAAATCAGCGCATCATGCGTTCATTGTGCCGCTAGGAGGAACCTATGAACTTATGATGCGTTCCTTCGGAACGCCTTTAGGCGTACTGGGAATTGAGGGCTAGGCCTATATTTTGTAGAATAATCGAACCCGGCATCCCGGAATTACAAAGCGTTCGCATCGACTTAGCCACAGAGCCAACTCAGCACAATATAATTTTACAAATCCAGCCGTGCTGGACATTCTATTTGTTCTATGTATTTGCTTATACATTATGGTTTTCAAATATATTATTTCTTATGTGTCATTCATCAAATAATAATAATAATAATAATAATAATAATAATAATAATAATAATAATAATAATAATAATAATAATAATACGCACTTAAACAATGCTTTAAACATTCCGGGGGCCCTGCCCTAGACAATAATAATGGCCGAACAGCTCCCCCCCCCCCCCCCCCACCAACCGCTCCTTTTTTCCCCTTTTTTTCGCCCACACTATTTCTTAGTGGTATTTCTCTTCTAGCGCATAGAAAGATACTTGTGTCAACTAAAGCAAATCTCATCAGAACGGCTTTTTGGCCGACTTTGTGCTACCAGTGCCAAACATAAACCCTTACTACAACTAATGAGCGGATCAACCTAACAACTGAGATGAAATGTCTTAGGAGAGCTGCCGATGTGACAAGAAGAAATCAAAGCAGGAATGAAGAAATTAAAAGAAGACTGAAACTAGTCATACAGTTCATTAAAGAACAACAAATGAGATGGTTTGGCCACGTGATGAGAAATCCATAGGACCAACTACCACAAATAGCCACGCTGAAGAAATATAATGAACACAGAGCAAGGGGAAGACCACACAAGAGATGGAGCGACACCATCAAGAGCAACCTAACAGAGCGAAACTTTCATCTCTCTCCCCCCTCCCCCACAACACCTGAGGTAAATGATAAAAACATTAGAGTTTAACACTCTTCCTGTCAAAATTGACGCTAGGCAGGGGCACAGTGGAGCTGAGGCACATTTTTTGCTTCTGTCGGACGGTGGTTGATGTATTTTTGCTCCATTTGTAGGCTGGATATAGTTTCCTCGTCCCGCTTCTGAGTTGAATGCATGGCGTGACACTGTGAGCTGCGGATTTCATTTGGATTTTTTTTTTACTGTGACCAACGTGATGGTGTTAATTGTAGATTCAGAAAATGGCGCGTGTCTTGTCATCGCAATATTGGTGGTGTGATTACAATTGATCACGTGGGCAGCTGCGGATCTGTTGGTGACTTCTGCTATCATCAATGATGACCTGCATTTCAAATGTCGGACTATTTGTGTTAGCACTTCGTATGGCTACCATTTTCTTTAATGGGTGTGCATGCTAGATATGCTGAGACAGCAGTCTGTCAATCTTTCCACAACGGATTGTGATAAACATTCTGTGTGTTTTTCGTTTGCACAGGAGCGGAGCAAAGATGGGGTGACCTGTTTCCTATGAAGCTGAAACTAAGACTACCAGACTACCAGACTACCAGATTGGAGGTAAACTTATGAGGAAAGTTCCGGATTTCGGCTTTATTCTAGACTTTAAGCGTCGCGTTAAAATACAGAGTGTTATCATCTTTAACCCCTGAATTGTATATACTAAATTTGTGTGTTCTATCCAGTTTCTCTCCGTGTCACAGGCCACATAATTTAGGATCCGCTACTGAAACGAGGCCCCGTCACTGACTACAAGGGAATCGGACGTTATTTATAAGACTCGTCTAGATCAATGTTCTTCGAGCCATGGGCCGCTGCCCATGCGAAACAAGGAAAAGTCAAGGTTGGCTGCGGAAATGTCAAGGTGGGAGGTTAAAAATCTCTGATTAATTATATAATTTGATAGGGTATGTAGTTTTTCTCTTTCAGGATTTCTGTCTGTAGAATTAATGCCACAAGGAGGAAAATCAAAGAAGTACAGGCGATATTCAACATAACAAGTCAGCATTTGAAGACGTTAGCTGAAAACTTGGTTCTTTATTAATATACTACTCCAAATGACGTCACAGGACAGTCCAACATTTTAGAGGGTGGTAAGACTAGGTTTCCCGCCATTCTGGTGCTTTTAACGACTCCAAAACGTCTAGAACTGGCCCTAATCCCAACACACCTACGTCCCACGAGAGAGTTCAGCCTTAGTCACACGACTGCATGCAGCCTATCTACCACTCATGAAATATTGGACTGTCCCGTGACCTGCGGATTTCCCGTTTGGAGTAGGATATTAATAACCGAAAACTTTGATAATTATGAAAAAAAAAAAAAAAAGCTGATCCAGTGGTCTTCTGACCCCAGTCGTGTGTTCAGGCATAAAACATGAGCATTGTTTGAGTTTTGGATGTCAACAAGGAATAATATCCATGTCCGATAAAGCTATACGATTTTTGGTGGCGTTTTTTCAGCTTCCAGATTGTATGAAAAGACTTTCTCAGCCATGTCTGTAACACAATCCAAAACGGTGATATCGAGGTAATGTTTCTGCAGCACTACGTCTATCAGAATAACGGCTCCAGTCATTATGTTAGATTGTCTCATCTCTAAGCAGCAGCAAATTTCACAGATGTCCTGTGTACTTTTTTGACATTGGAATTAACAAATAAACTGCCATCTATATTTATGTTGGTTTCTGCGTCAGAAACAAACTGAGACAATTATGACCCCTTTTTGTGGGTCGCGGGTGAAAAAAAAAGTGGGGGGGGGGTGAGAAACATGGGTCTACACCAGTGGTTCTCAACCGTCCTAATGCCGCGACCCTTTAATGCAGGTCCTCATGTTGTGGTGACCCCGAACTATAAAAAAATTTTCGTTGCTACTTCATACCTTCGGTGAATATGTGCTGTCTATGGTCTTAGGCAATCCCTGTGAAAGTGTCGTTCGACACCCAAAAGGGTCGCGACCCACAGGTTGAGAACCGTTGGTCTAAACTGCCTTATTATCACAACGGTTAACTGTCTGCCTCGCTAACACATACCAGATTGCCTTAATACCAGGAAAACTACATTGCGGTCTTAGTCTGTATTGCCATTTTACACGCAGTATCGCTTACTCTGTTACTTTTGCTTCGACGGAACGTAGGGTTATTTCAACCCCCTTCCCCCTTTCCCCCTCCCCCTTTTCCCCAACAATTTAGCACACATTACAGTAACGTATATTCCGTACCACAGAACGTGGTCACGTGTATTCAGGCCCCCATGGTTGAGTATATTACGACTGTTTGTTTGATCACGTACCATCTGGGCAGAAGAACGCTTGTTGTTAATTACCACACACAGAGAAGGACAACAATGATGGATGATGCTCAAGGGACTTTTCCGTTTGAGTCGCAGCGACTGATGGATTTTGCGTCGACTCGTGCTTTGCTAAAGACAGAAAGCAGAAGCGACAGCTCAGTAAAGTTACATAATGAGACAGTTACAAGTCCACAACATAATTGTGTCAAGCTACAGTGTGGAACCTCAGAGCCAGAGTTTTCTGCAAGACAACAAAGTGAGTTCGAGTTCTTTGGTTTCTCTAAGAAAGTCAGCAGGAGATCTTTAAAGGATGAAAGGTCTCACAGCTTGAGCTCTTGGCTTGAGTTGTTGAATCTACAAGATTCTGGTGTCACAGAATGTACCGACGATGGCGGAAAATCTTGGATCAGGCCATCATTTAGGAATTTACTTCCGGGGACTTCATTTGCAGACACTTCCCTTGTTGGAACTGCTTCGCCGGATACGCACATTGCTAGCACCTCGCACAGTTCATTGAATTCCCAAGATATACATACAGACTCCTTTAAGGATGTTCACAGAGCCTCGCTTCAAGATATAGCCACGAGATCGTTTAGAAATATAATCAGTGATTCTTTCACAGATGCACGAAGCGATTCCCTCACAGATGTCTCTTGGAGTTCATCCACAGAAATCCATAGCGACTCTTTCAAAGACACTGCCAATGATTCGTTCTCAGATATATCTGGTGATGCGATCGAGGATACATCCACAATGTTTTTAGACCACACCGATTGTAATTTATTGAAAAGTAAGAGTGGAGATTTTTACAAAGATACAACCGGTGTTTTATTGAATCATGCACCAGGATATTTTTTCAAAAACGTGCCTGCAGATTTGTATAAAGATACCAGCTTGAGTTTGTTTATAAATAGACCCAGAGATTCGCTCAAAAACACCGATAAATGTTCACTTAAAAATATTTACAGACATTCCCTTAAAGATACACCCAGATTTTCATTAAAAGATACAGCTGAGGATTCACACATAGACACAGATGATGAATCTCTCAATGATATTTACAGTGATTCATTTAGAGATGCACCCATGGATACGTACCTCAAAGAAAGGCACGTTAAAGATACTCTCAGATATTCACTCAAAGATACACTGACAGATGTGTTCAAAGAGGCGTATAATGGGTCGCTTACCGATACTTTCAGGGGTTCGCTCAAAGATACATTTTCTAATTCACTCACGCATAATTCTAGTGACCACTGCACTGAATTATCAAGCAATCACAAGGAATCGAAATCAGAACATACCTTCGATGCAAAACTTCAAACAACGAGCAATGCAAATTCTGCAGTATATTTTACAACTGAGCATCGCTTCCTGGAAACAACATCGTCTCTGATTCAGCATCGACAGCCTTCACATTTCAAACAAGAAACATCCCTGTCTCCATTCACTTTAGCCCTTCTAGGAATTACAGCAAACTTTCTTCTTATTGGACCGTTAGTTGTTGCGTTCTGGAACAGTACGTGGTGTTTCTTTGATTATATTCTTCAAGATCACGATTGCCAAGTGTCTGTGTGGACTTCTGCGGCAATAGGGTTTCCCTGTATGGCCTTGGTAACGTTTTTTCAAGGTTCAGTTCTTTCATATTCGTCCAAATGTAATACCCTCGCCCGTTTGATATTATCTCGAACGTATACATACGTTTTGAGTGTTGCCTGTGTCAATCAGTGGAGGAGTACTTGGTTAATTGCTGACTGCTATGTGGGAAGTTCTCTGTTTAATTCAGCAGTGACTTTCGGCAGCGTGTTTCTTGTACTGCTGTTATCTCGATGTTTAGTGAGTGCTTGTGCTCCACCAGTTTTCATTGCGATGGAAGTTCCCCATGTAGAATATTACAAGGTGGCCACTTTTCGCGGAGGTACGGTATGTATCTTTGATACCTGGATAGTATTTTGATTCAGATACATAGAGAAATCCAGATGCATAAAGAGATTAACAGAACGACAGGTAAGTAGTAGTGGTGGTTGGTGGTGCGGCCACTTATTATGGCGGCCGGGGGAGTACGCCGGAGTTCAGTCCTCTGGCCGCATTGCAATTACGGAGTTGAAAAAAGGGAACGAAACAATTGGCAATTACGGAGTGGAAAAGAGGGAACGAAACAATTGGCGATAGACAGCGCGCAGTGCACTGCTGTCATAAAAGGGTTAGGGTTAGGGTTAGGGTAACACATGTAACGTCGACAACTTACCCATAATGACGGCCGCTATATCTGATAATTTTGATACAGGAGTTGCAAATCATGGCCAACAATGTGCTGCTTGTGGCAGTGACGCCATTGGAATTCTGTTAAATTTGAAGGCAATAGCGCCCGGCTAGTGCCCAATTGGTGCCGAATTTTGCGTTTCGGTAGCATCCAGACCCCTTTAATCGTTTGGGTGTGCATGTCCGCAACCACGCAAGCTTATCGCTCATTAAGATATAAAGATCCGCGGTCTCACATCCACGGCCACTAAGTCTTGCGTCGCAAGACCGCGGTCGCTAATTTGAGTCGCAGCGCTTGGTCTACCAGCCATGTCGACCTCACTTTGTTTTGTGATTCGTGCCTTGTCCACTCCGTAATTGCAATGCGGCCAGGCGACTGAACTCCGGCGTACTCCCCCGGCCGCCATAATAGGTGGCTGTAATTTTAAGGAGAACCTTAGAATAATATTATTATAGTAGCAGTGGCTACTGTAGTAGTAGTAGCGTTTGTTGTTTTGGTAGTAGTAGCAAAATACAAATAAACAAAAAAGAAGAAGATACGGATGAAAAACTCGTAGTAGCATAACATTCATAGAAGTAGCAATAGTAGTAGCAGTAGTAGCAACAGCAGCAGCAGTAGTAGAAGTAAAAGTAGTAGTAGTAGAACCAGAAGTAGTGAATATAGTTGTAGTAGTAGTACTAGCAGAAGAAGCAATAAAAGCGGTGTCAGCTGCTGTAGTGACTGTAGCGTAGTAGTAGCAGCAGCAGCAGTAACAATATTACTAGCAGAAGCAGTGTAGTACATTCAAATATACTGAATACTTATTCTGACACTCCCTTCCAACCAGCCAACTTGCTCATTGGAATACCTCCTGGACACTCTAATCTCCGTCTTTGGGATACAGGTCTTAGTGATCGTCTACTGGAGAGCGTTCTGGGAGATCCTGGACTACTGTCTCATGCCGGAAGACCCACATCTCAGTGCGGTCTACTCTGTTGGGATCGGTGTGGGGCTGAGCTGTATCTTGTTTATTTTACAGGTGAGTCATTTTGTGAACCCCCACCCCCCCCCCTCCCCCCCCACTGTCCCCATCTCTTTCGTTCATTCACTGTCGTATTTTGCCTTGTGTGTGTGGGTGTGTATAGTGCTTACCAGGCCCCTCAGCAACAACCCTCATTAGATACTAAAGTACCTGTCTAAGCCACTAGGTTTTGTACACTAAATATTTCTTGGCCACCATAACTGGCACAAAGAAGCCAGACCACAAATACAACCGATACTGCTAACAGTAGGTTGAACGTTTTCGTTAAAAAATATATATATAAATGGATGGATGGATTATATATTACACAGAGCTTGCAGTCTCCCCCGCCCCCCCCCCCCAATTCCGTCCAATCCTGTGCAGTGACTTTCATATCATGCTTGGAGTTCATTCCAACACCTTTATCTTCTCTCATCAACGTTCCCTCATCAAAGTTTCCTTACTCCTTCAGTTTCCAATTTCAGTGCCTGTTTGGCGATTCTCTAATCGTTTCTTCTCAGGATATGCCTTTCTTCTTCTTATTTGTTCTTCTTTGTTCACCGGCTGTAAACTCAAGCGGAAAGTCCTGGTTGTTCGTCCATTTAGACACATCGTAAGAAGGAAGAAAGTGGAGTACCTAGTGAAAGGGCTTTCTCAATATCTCCCCCAGGATGACGTCACAGGACAGTCCAATATTTTCCAGGAGGGCAAGTGCAGGTTTCCAGGCTTTCTGATACCTTTAACTTCCCTAAAACATCTAGAACTGGGCTAACCCCACACTCACCTACGTCCTACGAGAAAGTGCAGCCTATGTACCACGACTGCATACAGCCTATCTACCACCCCCACAAATATTTGGGGGGGGGGGGGTCAAATCACCCCTGCAGGTGGAATCAAACCGGGCACCTAGGAGTTATGAAACGCGATGGCGACAGCTAATTCACAGACACAAAGAACAGACTGGTGTCGTAATCAGACATCTTCATTAGATATTGTTTGTTTATTTAACGGATCAATATCATGGCTCACTGCTGTATCCCAATAAGTGCTCCGTTTTACTTCAAATGCAAGCCTGAGTCTGAAGAATCTCAGCACAGTACACGCACTCCGTTGCACCAACGAGGATCATGAAATACTTTGGGTAGATTTTTAACTCCAAATTCTGCCCGGGTAGCGCCGTTCAGCTACTCTGATTCGATTTCCAACTGTCAATGTACTTTTTACGTGCGCACCAGTACACACAAGCGTCCGATCTTACTACCCAGAGACAAGGAAAATTACTAGAAGTCCATGTAAAAAAAAAAAAATCCCAGCCATCACCCAAGACCTCCAGGACTCGAGGCGGGTTGCCATACCTCGAGACCACTCATTGTCTTCATTAGACATGAACAATAGAGGGTGTTAAAGGCAAACATGTCTTGTCTGGTGGCCGCAGCGGACAGACAACAGAGATTTTAAACAGAGGAAGCTCATGGACGGTAGAGACAGATGTCGCTAGCAGCACTGTTCGTTGAATTGACGAAATATCGCAGTGAGGACATGGTTACTTGACTCTTCAGGTGTATTGGATACAGAGGTTAGTTAGTTGCGTATCCTTTACAGGACGTTGCATAACCAACCCTAACTGCTCCTGGCTGTTGTGTGGTTTTTTAGGCAAATTTACATCCAGTAGTTTGCCATAGCTTTCTGGACGGTTGGCTTTCTTGATACCACTGTAGAAACCAACGCAAGGGCACATGTCCCTCAGCTGGGATCGAACCCGGCGTTCTAGCATTACGAAGCTTTCGCATCAACTTAGCCACAAAGCCGACGGACACTGAGGGCTAGAAATATATTTTTTAGACCAATCGGTACTGAATGAGTGATGTGGTCAGCATCCCTTCGGACAACTTTACATCCCATAAATTTACCTGGTGTGCATTGTAGGCTGGGTCGACCAAATAGCCAAGGTCATTTTTTTTTTTAAAAAGTCCGGCGGCGTTCGGATTCGAAGCCACGAACTTCGGATTTGCATTCGAGCGTCTTGCCGCTACACCACGGCGACTCCTAATGAGTCACAATGCCGCTCATTGCAATAGTCGATCAGGAAACTACAACCCCCCAGTACAAGATGACTTTTTTATTATGGACAGACCAGAACAAGTCATTATCCTCCGCCTCAGAACAGGGCACAACCGATTACGTAACCACATGTACATACAATTCAAGATAGGTGTATCAGCCAAGTGCACCTATAGAAATGTGCCCCAGACAGCAGAGCATGTACTCCAGGACATCATCGATTTTGACACATCAAGGCAAACCTTTTGGCCAGAAAGAACAACAGTGGAACGTAAACTCTATGGACCACTGAATGAACTAACATCGACAGTGAAATTTATACAAGAAACACAACTGCTGATATAGACAACTTATTTCAGGCGAACGAAAGAAGAAGAAGAAGAATTGCAATAGTCATCCATAGTTGAGTGATAGTTACTTTGGGCTGAAGGTGAGGGCAAAAGAACACGTATGAGGTTTGAACAACGGATCAACATCACAGCACAAGGGTAGTAACCCATAAGTGCTCCGTACTTCTTCTAACTCCCGAAAAAGGCTCCATAGCTGCAACGTTCACGTTTTGTTTGTTTGTTATATGGCGAAGCTCGCTGATATACTTTTCGTTCGGTTTTATATCTTTCCTCGAATAAGCTCAGCACAGTGCACAGGCTCTGAAGCACCAGCAAGGACCGTGAAATACTTTGGGTAGATTTTTAACTCCAAATTTTGCCCGGGCAGCATTATTTGGCTACGCTTTTCGATTTCCAACTGCCTAGGGATTTTTGTCGTGCGTAACAATGCACACAGACGTCTGATCTCACTACCCAGAGACCAAGAGGAATTACTAGAAGTCCACGTGAAAAAATCCCAACCCTTACCAAGGATTGAACCAGAAACCTCTAGCACTGGAGGCGAACACAATGCCTCGAGACCACGTAGCCCCTAGGGGAATAGAAACATGATGAAAACGAGGGATGCTTGCACCAGCTGGTCAATGCCGGTTAACACCCACTTTACATTATACTGCGTGCGCATATTTATGGATTGTTGCGGGACTAAATTGTTTGTTCACTAGGTTTTTTTTAAAAATTGGACAGTAAAGGACATTTCAATCGATTAACACTTGCACAGGAACGGAACAAGTATGGGGTAACCCGTTTGCAGTGAAGCTGACACCTCGACTAATGCTAAGACAACACCGTAGAAACATTATTATATAACACAGATGGGTCTTTTCGAGAGATAAACAGAGTGGGTTGGTTTTATTGCAAATGTGAATGGACTTTGTATGAAAACAGAGAGCCTCTGGTATAACATCACACAGTCTAGTATGAGAATGGAGGTGGAGGCAGTAAGAGAGACTTCCCGATGGCGTGAGAGCAGCACAGTCCGATACACAATTGTAAAGAACTCACAGAGCATGCTAAAAAAAAAGCCACTGGCATTCTACGCGTGGAGTTGAGTCATGAATTGATATCACAGCACTCGGGAAATTCTCATGCGTGCTCCGTCCTCATCTCCAGCAGCCAGCGCAGAGTACCAGTATTGTTGGTACCGGTCACAATCTGGTTATATGTCTGTCTTGCCTTTCCTCTGAGTGTAGTGAATCGGCCAGACCCTCTGGTTACACCCAGATGCCTCATTCTCTCCAGGCCATAATAATCCTCTTTCTCTACTGATTCTGTTGCATGTTTCCAAAAAGGGCCTTGACTACACCTGCCTTGCCATGTATCGATCACTATCCAGTGGTGTGGATCCAGCTAATCTGTCTGACTATTTATTACCCACTACGCCGGCATCGCCAGGAGAAAAGATCCAAAGTTCTACGCGTAGAGTGACTGACATCACTTGATAAGGCTCAGAGCAGTAGCACATACCATGTGTCGTGCAGATCTCCTCGTCACTCCCCGACCACCCCATTCTTTCCACATCGTAATGATCTATACTCGACTGTGCGCTGATTGATTGATTTGTTAATAAAAAACGTGTTAATGGATTAATCATGCGTGTCCTAACAGAGGCCGACACTGGAACTCACGAGGACCCTATATGCAACCAACTGGCTCGTGATGTTGTTAATACAAGATCTAGTCGCCGTTGTGTACAGTGTTGTGTGCATTACGTACTGGCGGGGTAAGTTGGGTAGTAGTATCCATAACTTCAATGCGTCTGTGATATTTTCTTTTTAACTTTTTTCTTACATGATAAAACCTGTGCGACTTTCTCCATCCACTCCCTCCCCAATCTGTTTTTCTGTCCCTGCCTCTGTCTTTCTGTCTGTCAATCTGTGTGTTTCTGTCTCTCTGTCTCTTCCCTCTCTGTCTGTCTGTCTATCTGTCTGTCTGTCTGTCCTTCTGTCTGTGTATGTGTGTGTATGTGTGTATGTGTGTGTATATGTATGTATGTATGTATGTATGTATGTATGTATGTATGTATGTATGTATGTATGTATGTATGTATGTATGTATGTATGTATGTATGTATGTATGTATGTATGTATGTATGTATGTATGTATGTATGTATGTATGTATGTATGTATGTATGTATGTATGTATGTATGTAGTATGTATGTATGTATGTATGTATGTATGTATGTATGTATGTATGTATGTATGTATGTATGTATGTATGTATGTATGTATGTATGTATGTATGTCTGTCTGTCTGTCTGTCTGTTCTGTCTGTCTGTCTGTCTGTCTGTCTGTCTGTCTGTCTGTCTGTCTGTCTGTCTGTCTGTCTGTCTGTCTGTCTGTCTGTCTGTCTGTCTGTCTGTCTGTCTGTCTGTCTGTCTGTCTGTCTGTCTGTCTGTCTGTCTGTCTGTCTGTCTGTCTGTCTGTCTGTCTGTCTGTCTGTCTGTCTGTCTGTCTGTCTGTCTGTCTGTCTGTCTGTCTGTCTGTCTGTCTGTCTGTCTGTCTGTCTGTCTGTCTGTCTGTCTGTCTGTCTGTCTGTCTGTCTGTCTGTCTGTCTGTCTGTCTGTCTGTCTGTCTGTCTGTCTGTCTGTCTGTCTGTCTGTCTGTCTGTCTGTCTGTCTGTCTGTCTGTCTGTCTGTCTGTCTGTCTGTCTGTCTGTCTGTCTGTCTGTCTGTCTGTCTGTCTGTCTGTCTGTCTGTCTGTCTGTCTGTCTGTCTGTCTGTCTGTCTGTCTGTCTGTCTGTCTGTCTGTCTGTATAATTAAACAATCTACACTCCTATAACCGTTAACAATTAGTACATATTCTACGCAAAATTAAATAACTAAAGTAATCGTCATGCATAAATATATAATGTTAAACACCTCTATGTATCGCCTATGAAATTACCACTATTACCATGCGGCATTAACCACTCAGTTGAGAGAATAATCACATCTGTTATAGCAATTATCAAGCCTCATGTTCATTGTCTATATCAGTAAACGTGGCTCTCTTTTTTTTTTTGATTATATATCGTTTTTAATATTTCTTGTGCAAAATCGTACTCCACAGGTTTGTGGGTCCTTTTGGATTTATACACACCTTTACGTCCTAACAGTCTTTATATAGCCCACAGCGTCAGTTTTATCGTTCTGGCTGTTTGCTTAACTGCCAATTCTCTTTTGGTAAGTATTTCAGTCACAAAAGCTCAACTTTTATTTTCGACTCCTTGCAGAATAGCGAATTAAACATCTTTCTCTGGGGAGAGAAGGTAAAATGTGAACAACAGGATCAACATCATGGCACACGGGTAGTAACCTTTATGTGCTCCGCTCTTCTTCTAACTTAAGTCTCAGTCCGACGAAGCTCAGCACAATGCACAGGCTCTGTATCACCGGCGGGGATCCTGAAACATTTTTGTAGATATTTTAACTCCATATTTTGCTCGGGCAGATCCATTAGTCTACTCTTTTAGATTCCCAACTGTGCAGTGATTTTTTACGTGCGCAGCATCCGATCTTACTACCCAGAGACCATAGGGAATTATTAGAAGTCCAAGCCCACGTGAAAAATTTCCAGCCCGTACTGGGGATTCAACCCTGAACCTCTAGCACTCGAGACGGATACCATGCTCGGGACCACGCAGCTCCCCACCCCCTCCCGGGGAGAGAATGATACTACAAGGAATGATAAGAGAATCTCAGCGCTCAAAGCAAAGGCGAGACGGACATATTTTCATACCCCAGCCGACACAATCTTCTGTTGCTTAAAAAGAGAGAGGAAGAGACGTTATTGTGACGTCTGTTTTTACCGCAACAAATTTAATTCTTTTACGCGCCGAAGCCTTTTCATTATAAAATGTCCCGTGTATATGTCCGAGGTCGGCGTCTGTGGCCTGTGCGCTGCGAACGCGCTTCATAATGCCGGGATGCCAGGTTCGATCCGAGCTGCGGACGATTTGTCTGGCTTCGGTTTCGACAGTGGTACCGAGAGCTGACTGTTTAGTAAGTAGTAGCAAACTACTGAACGTTAAAATGTGTCTTAAATAAACCGCAACAGCCAAAAAATGATAGGATTGCTTCTGCAGCGTCCTGTAAAGGATTGGCAACTAACTTAACATGTCCGATGCCTCATTTTGGAAAAGAAATAAGAAAGAATAAATTGCGTCTTAACAAAAATTTCAAAAATAAAAGATTAGAAGAGACTAAACACATTTCGATGAATCAAGAGGTGAAGAAAAGACGATAACGTTGGATATGACACACATTGAGAAAATCCGAGAATAGTATAACTGGAATGTTTTTGCACTGGAACCCACAGGAGTATAAAGATAAAGGCAGACTAAAAGGCACATAGATAATGGTCCTGGAGATTGAAGTTAAAAAGATAGGGAAAGACGAATAGTGAGCTGAATCGAAAGATATAAAGTCTTGGCGTGAGTTGGTTGAGGGCCTATGCTCCCTTGGGGGGGGGGGGGGGGGGGGGGGGGGGTGGGGGGGTGGGGGGGGGGTAATGAACGAAAAAAAAAAAAAAAGAAGAAGAATTAAGGATTTCCTGTAGTTGGCTGGATTGGGAAGTAAGGGGCAGATGTCACGTCCTAGCTGAAAATCACAACATAAAGATAGTTCCATAGCAAGTACGGCCGCCAAGCGAAAGTTTTAGGACTTCGCAATTCCTGGGTTATGATAGATGAGATATGGTGGACCCGGGGCTGTAGCTAGGTAAAAGCTAAATAAGCTACAGTCTGAGGCCTCACAATATGCAGGGGCCTTAAAAGATCCCTATTTTTTTCATTCACAAATACAATTAAAATACTTAAAATACATTTTTTATAATATATAAATGCAATTTTTTTTTTTTACTTATTACGAACCTGCCTGCATGTCGCCGTAACGCGAGAGTTCCTTCTCCTCCCATTCAGGCAGTGGCCGTTCCCATGGCCTGTCAAATGTTGTAGGGGTGTCATGGATTCCTATTTTTTTCAACGGTTTAACAGTCGTATCTTCGGCGCTTACCTATGCAGTAGTTCATACTTGTATACAGACGCCTGTGGCGCCTTAAGCAGACTCACAACACAACTTCCCACAAATTTTATGTGCGACGAGCGAACGCCAAACGAAGACTAAACAAAGCCATCTCATAACATCCCCACAACATAGGACAGGTCGTGGGAACTGCCACGGCATGAATGGGAGGGGAAGAAACTCTCGCGTTACAGCGACACGCGGATATGGTCGTGATAAATTCCGAATTTTCTTTTAATATGTTTTAAATATTTTCTCCCAGAAAATGTATAATGTCATGACAATTATTTCGTATATATTATCCCAGGCTTTTAATTATTCTAACTTGTAGACGTGTGCATTTTAAAGTTTTCTTAGAATAGCTGGTATAATTTGAAACGACAGGGGCCTCAATGCTTTATATAGCTTATGGCCTCATAATGATTTCATTGTAAAATGTCACCTCTACGTGTCCGATGTCGGCGTCTATGGTCTTTTCTCAAGACTATCACGGCGTAGTGGGTAATGAACAGGCGGACAGATTGGCTGGATCTGCACCACTTGGTGGTAAATTGAAACATGACAAGACAGATGTGGTCAAGGCCCTTTGGGAACAAGCAACGGACTCAATAGGGAAAGACGATTATTATGGCCTGGAGAGAATAAGGCACCTGGGTGTAACCAGAGGGTCTGGCCGGCTCACTACACTCAGAGAAAAGGCAAGACGGACATATAACCAGATTGTGACCGGTACCATCAGTACTAGAACTCTGCGCTGGCTGCTGAAGATGACGACGAAGCACGCATGGAAATGCCCCGAGTGCTGTGATGTCAATTCTTGACTCAACTCAACTCAAGGGCCTCATAAAATCAGTTCAGTCCTAGGTGGACCGTTCCCTCCCTCCTCAACTTTCCTATCCAGACAAATCCAAGACAAATGTTTTGTTGTTGGCACCTCACCGTCTTTCCTAACGAGAATGTTATGTTGTGCTTTGCGAAGGCGTGGCAATGCCAGCCCAAGGCAATGTAGAGTGTGTCTAGCAAGACCCATCCATGGTGAAAAAAGTCTAGCACAAACAGAGCATGGGATTACAGGACAGTCGTTACCATCACAGATATTTAGTATGTTTCTTTCAGATGCTGAGCTCTCTCAGTCTGTATGTAGTCATTTTGTGTTTTATTCCATCACATTCAGTTGTCCCAAGGAACGCGTCATACGTTTGTAGATTTTTACCTAGAAGACCAGTGACGGCAGGATACGCTATTTTTACGTTTCACTTGACTATCCCTTTGGCCTCTGATGCTGAACACCATGGGACTCAAAGAGTTAATGCAGTTGTAGAAAATTGCATATACTATACACGCTTCTAATCTGTAATAAAGGAAAGATATAAACCTGAACGAAAAGTATATCAACAAGTAATCTGTAATAAAGGAAAGATTTAAACCAGAACGAAAAGTATATCAACAAATAATCTGTAATAAAGGAAAGATTTAAACCTGAACGAAAAGTATATCAAAAAGTAATCTGTAATAAAGGAAAGATTTAAACCAGAACGAAAAGTATATCAACAAGTAATCTGTAATAAAGGAAAGATTTAAACCAGAACGAAAAGTATATCAACAAGTAATCTGTAATAAAGGAAAGATTTAAACCTGAACGAAAAGTATATCAACAAGTAATCTGTAATAAAGGAAAGATTTAAACCTGAACGAAAAGTATATCAACAAGTAATCTGTAATAAAGGAAAGATTTAAACCAGAACGAAAAGTATATCAAAAAGTAATCTGTAATAAAGAAAAGATATAAACCCAAACGAAAAGTATATTAAAAAGTAATCTGTATTACTGGAGAGTGAGAGGTAAGGGGGAAAAGTTACATTTAAAACGAAATAAACTTTGGCTCTGAGATTCACTCAGCCCACAAACAGGTGCAAGAAATTGTTATTGGAAGTAAAGGTGGCCGACGAGATGTTGACTACATCCCCCATCAAGTGTTGATTGTCTATCGAAACAAGCCGAACATCACATACCCCGATGCGCCTGTAGCAGGGAATAGGTAAGTCCTTTACTTACTTTACTTGATACTCACATTGGCAGGGATTTACTCCCAATCCTGGAGTCAGTTCTAGTGTTCTTCTGTGACAAAAGAATCCACAACAGGAGCGCCAGTATAATGATCATAACGGCGTGAGGAGAAAGGTACACAGGAGCTCTGTCTGACGTTCTACACTTAAGAAGAAAGGCAAGACGGACATGTAATCAAACAGCTACAGGGATCATCGCAACTGGAACGTTCTTCTGGGTGAAGAAGCTTGGTATAGAGCGCTTAGGGTGCGTCCCTACTGATGTCATGTCGGTTCTTGATTCAGTTTAACTCACACTCCCGTTGGATGTTTATGGTTCTGCTGTTTGTGATTATATATTGGCTCGGTACTATGTATATCGCAACCCTTCCGTTCTTGATTCCATGATAGGTACCGTAAATCTGGGAGAAATGTGGCTTTTCTGCCTACCCCCGGGCGTGAACCCGGACCACAAGAAGTTCGTCATGGTCGTTTGATCTTTACGACACTCATGGACATATCCTTACGTGCTCTGATTCTCCCTTCAACATATATATATATATATATATATATATATATATATATATATATATATATATATATATATATATATATATATATATATATATATATATCGGCGTTCCGCGGTTATTAGTAACAGTCCTCTGCTAGTTGACAGGACTTCTTGTACGCCTTGTGTGCATCTTATGCCTGGTTTGCCGATCTTTACTCTCAAATCTCGCATTCTTATCTTAGCAGTAATGTTGGTCACGCTGCTCCCAAAATCTTCTGATCGACGTGTGTCTCTAACAGTGATAACAATGTCAGCGCGATTCGTAAGCCGGCCATCTGCAACTAAAACAAAACCGGCTAATCTATCATGCATTTTATTGTCAACAACACCAACATCCAGTATTTTCTTATATTATACGCAGGTGCGCAACGTTGATAGAGATGGCCGGGAAGGTGTGGTGTTTGATGTCCGCTATGTGGCAACTATGATCCAGACTCTTCTTCACAAGAAAGGTAATATACGTACAGTATAGCTGTAACAATGATGTTCACACCGGGTTTGTTATACCTCTCTCATGTTACCCTTTCATGCTTGATGATCTGTCCAAAATGAAGTAACGATGTGGTGGTTGAGAAGGTTGACGTTTTGTCACTCCATTATCGTTTTCGTTTGCTCATTAAAACAGCTGACGTTAGAATGGTGAATGTTGAAAGCTGTGGTAAGAATCGACCACATAGCACTCAGGTTAGGTTAGTTGCTATCCTTTACAGGACGTTGCAGAACCAACTTTAACAGCTCCTGGCTGTTGTGTGGTTTTTCTAGGCAAATTTACTCGAGTAGTTTGCCATTGCTCCCTGGACGGTCGGCTTTCTTGATACAACTGTCGAAACCAATGCAAGGCTCATGGCCCGCAGCTGGAATTAAACCCGGCAATTCGGCATTACGAAGCGTTCGCATCAACTTAGCCACAGAGCCGACAAGCACTTAGGACTCTCTTATAATATATCCATAAATACCTGTAATGGTTGGGTTGCTCATTTACTGTAAGAAAGATGTAACGACATAATTTACAAATATTTGTTGGATGGATTAATATTAAAGAAAGTAGCAAACCTTTACTGTACATTACAAACCAATCTCAACGCTTATTTGTTATTTGTGGTTTTACTAAGCAATTTAGTTAGCGTCCTTTGGATATTTTCTTCAAGGCATACAGGTGTTGGGAAATGAACAAGCAGAAGATCGACTAGGTGGTTCTGCACCACTTCATGATAAGGTGTGTGCCAGGTTAAATGTTGTAAGGGCCCTTTGTGAGCTAGTAAGCATTGTTGTGGCTCAAACAGATCATTGCCATCTGAAGAGAATAGTTCTGCGAGGAGAAGCACGGAACCAGGCCGACGCTGAGCATTCACGAGAGGGGTGAGGCGGAAACACGATTAGTCTGTTACTGGCACCATCGGAAAGGACCACTCTGCACCTCCTTGCGAATGTGGAGACAGAGCGCTGATTTGATTGCCCCGAGAGCTACGATGTCGTCTCTCAACTAAACTAAGGTTTACACTACTGAACACATTTTGTGCTGTGAATTAAAAGTCTTCTATCAACAGCTTCAGTTCCCTTGTGTATTTTGTTTTCAGGCACAAACTTTCGCACAGAGCTGGTACGACAAGAGACGCATGACCCAGACGATGTTGAATATCTGTGATGCAAGCGTGTACATTTACATTCACAACAAGAGACAGATTTTGGCTACCTATAATGACCAGAAAGCGCCACTGTTGAAGAAAGAAACGACATGCGCAGCTAGGTAGGTCAGCTCCACTGCAGTCTTGTTTCTCTTCGTCTTCAAGTCCTCTTTTAACGCTTCAGGTGTAGAGCAGTGTTGCCACTTTTCTTTGACAAAAAATATCCAAAACGGTGTCAAAAAATATCTAAAAAGATCTAAATCTGCGTGGAAAAGATCTAGAAAAAACATCCAAATTGAAAAAGTCAAAAATTACATAGCTTTTGTTATGACTTACCCTACATAATCATGTCCTCACCTTCACTGATGTCTGCCTCACAAGATCCACCGGATAAACTTAGCTTGGATAATGAAGTTGAAGCTTCAGATCCAAAATGAACCTGGTATGCTTTAGCTGTTCAAATTTCTTTATAAGTGGAACAGGAGGCTTATTTCTCTAGTCTCATTAGGCCGAATTTTAAAGGCACGATAGCATTTAAGAGGTCAAAATTTCATCCTGTTTTTTAGGTTAGATTTGATATAATTCCTAGCACTGAAAACTCTTTCTACGTCATTTGAGTGGGTTAGTATCATGGCAGACATGGCACTTTAAAGAGCTTACAGAATGGACTGTTTGATGAGGCATCTTTAAATTGTCTCACTTCACTCCAAAACGCTTTAGTTTCTGTTTTGTTTGTCCATTCAGCTAACTTTATTTTGGTTAACTAATATTCTGCTTCCGCGACACTATTATCAGTAGCCCCTAAAAATTTCATAACTTAACAATAGGTATGTCCTTTATTGGCTGAAGTATGTTGCTCACAGAAAAAAGTGAAATATTTTTCAAAACATCTAGATTTTCAGGAAGTCTCTGCTTCAGTTGCTTCAATAATGAGATAAGGAAATCTTGACAGCGTTTTCTTAAGTTGTTCTCTTCATTCTCTGTTAACAGTCCTTTTGTTTTTAAATCATCAATTTTTTATTCGATTTAATATCCAAGGTGTGGCTTAGGAGCCAAATAGCTCTCTATAGTGCAAGTGAGCAAAATCAGCTTTAGAAGTTGGCAACACCAGTCTTTTACCGAGTGAAATAGCAAGGTGAGATCATCAAGTAATTTAACTTTATCAACAAGTTTAGATTCGAACTGTTTATTAACATTTTGCACTTCCATTAGAATAGGTTATAAAAAGAGAATGAATGACAATTTTTTTTCTTCACTGTACATTCCATATAGTATTTCAGCTGTGTAGCACTTTTCACTTTGTCTTGTTATTTCAAAGTGTGTCTTCAACTTCAGCCATTGCTTCATAATTCTTTCAACAACTGGTTAAATTGATAACCATCTAGTTTTGCAATCTGACAGAATTTTCGGTGGTTTTGAACCATTATTCAAGGCTGTATATAGTGTATTGTATTGCTGTTGTCTGACAAATAATTTGGAAAACCAGTAAAGTGTTTCAGCAATAACGTATTCCAAATTCCTTGGTAAATATTTAAATGAAGCATGTGATAATGCTAGCTGCAATGAATGACGCATACATTTTATAAGTATTAACTATGGGTTAGCTTCCTTCAACTTGGCATAAACGCCATTGTTTATACCAACCATCACTGAGGCATTATCAGTACCAATTACAGCAAAATTCTTCAAGCCTAACTGTTTGCAGATTAAAAGGTCCTTCAGTTCCTAAACTATACTTTCTACATCACACTTTTCAAATTGAACTAGATTTGTTACAAATCGATCAAATGGTCACAGTTTGAAATTGCGCAGTGACAAATTAAAAACATTGCGACTGACACTTTAACTTTTGCTGATTCATTTATCAGTATAGTTCTGAAAACAGATGTCAGCGGTGCAATATCTTTAAATGAAACTGCAGTTTTATGCTTTTTTAGTCTCTGCATGACTCTTTGAGTTTTGTATTTTCGCTTTAATTTCACACTTGCAGTACTTACAACAAGCTTTGGTCATATCCCCAGTTTTTAATTTTGTCATCATGCAACCACTCTTTCCAAATTTTTTGCTCATACTTTACTTTTGGCATGTTGAAAGGTTTTTTCAAATTGAAAGCCACATAAGAAGGTGAGCAAATTTTTTTTTTAAATCACATGATAAAGAAACGCAAAGTCAGCACAGTGAGGATACGGTTGAAACAAAGTTAGTATGATTTACGCGCGTTTTTATTAATCAGTACCGGGGCTGTTAGATATTTGTGTGTTGACCCCAGTGAGAGTTCAAAGTTCAAGTAATGGCAGTTGTCACAATGTACGTACCAGACCAAAACAAAAATATTGTAGTAAATATTTTACATAGTAATCATTAAAGTGACAATGAAAGAAAAAAAATCTATAAAATATCTAACTCCATATGAAAAGGATCTAGAAAAATATTTACGATCTAAACGTCAAAAACAGTATCTAAATGCAATAAAAAAGATCTAAATTTGGATACAAAAGATCCAAAGTGGCAACACTGGTGTAGAGGGATTTAACAGTTTCTGGTTCTTACTACCGGTGCCAGCCATAGACGCATGGTGCTGTTGTTGTGTCACAGTCACCCCCCCCCCCCCCACCCACCCCCATCCCCACCCCTATATTATTCTTGGTCTACCCTGTGCCATATGTTCTTCTTCTCTTTTGGTGTATTTCTTATGTGGTAGGACATTACAAGGCATTTCCTGAGTCATCATCATCATCATCATCATCGTCATCATCATCACCATCATCATCATCATCAACAACATCGTCATCATCATCATCATCATCATCATCATCATCATCATCATCATCATCATCATCACGTCATCATCATCATCATCATCATCATCATCATCATCATCATCATCATCATCATCATCATCATTATCATCATCATCATCACCATCATCATTATCATCATCGTCATCATCATCATCATCAGGTGCCTTGCCAGCTGGCGCAGGAGTTCATGCGTCACCAAAGATCTCGGTCTTTGGTGTTCTGGGCCAATTCTACTGATGATATTCCTCCATGCCACTGTCTTAAGCCATCTAACATCATTTCTCTCGGCATATATCTGCCTCTTCTACCAGTGATCTTTTCAGGTCGTGCTGATATTTTTCAGTGTTCCTTTTCTCATTACACTCTTTAAGTCATCAAACAAAAATATTTCTGTCTTAGTATGTAATTTATTATTGTTTTTATGCTGATGTTTTTTCCTATGACTTTATTCCTGACATCTCCTCTTCTGGTCGCTCCTGAAGCCTTTCTCATACATACAATAATCTAGTCATCCCTTTGTGGGATGCAATTTTTTCGTTATTAGAAGCCCTACTCTGGCTCTGTCCAAGGGCCTCTGTATAGCCCGGCCATAAATATGGTGTAATGGCTGAACGCGGTTTCTGGGACCTCTCCACTGGGGATCCTCATCCACATGGTGGAACTTTGTGTCATCGGGTGTTTATCGCTTGTGTGATGTCCTGGTGGGGTAAAAGAAGATATAGATATTCTCATACATTTTATTTCTAGTGCTACAAGTTTTCTGCAGTAGCTCTGTTTTACTTCCTTACACATCCTTGTCATAAATTTGTGTTGTTAAGAGCTACTTGTATGCTGGACTTTCAGGGACACCCGAGTTGCAACTATCGTTGGTGATGACATTTTTGTTCATCTGTCCGGTGTGAAAAATAAACATCCTAAAGTGTAGTTCAGCTACACTAGTCTTGCGGATCTAAATCATTAGGCCCAAGACAACTGGGTCTTATACAACAATACTTCCCCTGTCGGTTTCTGAGCCCCATTGTGAGGGAAAACAAGAAAAGACCCACTGCTTCCCCAACAAGCATGTCGTAGGAGTCGACCAACTGGGTTTCGTTTAAAGTTGGAGTGCATCTGCCCAAGCAACACGGAACAACCAACTGCTTACAAATAAACCAGTAAAACGGATGTACACACAAAACACAGGCCCTGGCACAAAGCCAGAGTCCAGATGGACGAACAACCAGGACTTTTCGCTGGAGTTTACCGCCGTTAAAGAAAGGAAAAGAATTCATGATAGTAAATTGATAAATACGGGCTTTGTCATTTATCCATACATTCATCATGTCATTGATGATATTGTTCTTTTTTTTTTCCTTCTGTGTCCGTCCAATTGGAATTTTGTGTTGTGAATTTACAGCTAGGCTGTGATATCTGCGCTTCGGTCTAACATATCCGATTTCACAAAACCTCTACGGCTAGAAGAATGCTGGGCTTAAGAGAGATTCATCATTTCATTATGCACATTGTAACATGTATTTAAAAATAATAATGGGAAAAGGTAATTTAAAATGATCTCTAAGAAAGGAGGAGGAAACCATATGAGGAGGAGAGAGAAATACACACAACACACACACAAACCCATATATATATATATATATGAACATCCGGTCAAAATGGACGTTAGGCAGCGGCACTGTTCGAAACAGAGGCAAATTTGTTTCTTCTGCCGGACGGTGGCCGATGGCATTTTTGTTCCATTTGTAGACTGGATATAGTTTCGTCGCCCAGCTTCTGAGCTGAATGCATGGCGTGACCATGTGAGCTGCGGATTGCATTTGGAATGTTTTTTCGACTGTGACCAACGTGTTGGTGTGAATTGTAGATTCAGAAAATGGCGCGATGACTGTCGTGCAGTGTTGTGGTGCCCGTATGTGATTACAATTGATCGCGTGGGCAACTGCTGATCTGTTGGCGACTTCTGCTACCATCAGTGAGGAACAGCAATTCTAATACTGTGATAAACATTCTGTGTGTTTTTCGTTGGAACAGGAGCGGAGCAAAGATGGGGTGATCCGTTTGCTATGAAGCTGAAATTAAGACTACCAGACTACCATATATATATATATATGTATCACAAATTAGAAGAAGTTGAGTATAATTTACAGGAAATTGCAGAACCAACCCTAGCATTAAAGGCTGCTGTGATTTTTCTAGACAAATTTACGTCCAGTATTTTGCATTTCCTACTGAACGGTTGGCTTTTCGATACCACTGTCGAAACCAGCGCAAGGCCCGCAACTGGGATTGAACCCGACACCCCGGAATTACGAAGCTAGTTCTCAACGCCTAAGCCACAAATGCCGACTATATATCCCAAGAGCATAAACAAATTGCCATGGATCCCTTAGAAACATCAAAACAGTGTAACAAAAAGGCTGACTTGTTGAAGAGTTTCAGATCGGCATCTACTACGAAATGAAGATGTGGGCAGGTATTGCTATAGATTCCTGGGAGCAAAGTGTCATGAACCGTGTTTTCCTGGAAGAGGAAAATCAGGAAGAGAATAAAGGAACACACATTGACAGCTTAGCGTTTGAGAAGTACACTGAAAACATGTCGACAACTGTCCTGAAATGCCATGATATAATTGTGGAAGGTTCTTCCTAACACGGCCGGGTTTTACTAGTCACACTCACTCGCGCCAGGGGTAGTCGCATGCCTCCTTGTTGCACATTATAAAAACACAAAGGTGCCAACAACATATCTCTTGAAACTAACGTAGTCTGCAAATAGCTGCACATCCATCAAACATTCACAATTAAAGATCCTTAACACAGAGACATCTTATTCAAAGCATATTTATTCCAACTCTGTGCAACCAGTGCCAGACATGGTCACTCACAACAAACCATAAAAGAAAATTAGTAACCACGGAAATGAGATGTCTGAGAATGGCTGTAGGAGTGAACCATAAGAGATAAGATCAGAAATGAGATCATAAAGAGAACAAGTCGGAACAGAATCCAATTTCTGGATTACATACAAAGACAGCAAGTGAAATGGTTTGCCCACTTAGAGAGAATGCCTTTGTGACACCATACCATACAAAGCATAACATGGAAAGAGAAGAAGGACGTAGAGCACGGGGTAGACCAAAAAAACAAGATGGAAGGATAACATCAGAAACTTCTACAACAGCACGATGGGCCTATGGTCGAGGCCAAGCCAGAAGAGCTAGAAACAGAACCAATTATATCTCCCTCGACACCCACAGCGGTAAAAGAGGAAGTGAAGAAGAAGAAGAAGAAGAAGAACAAAGAGATAATGTCAGTGTTACAAATATATTCTACTAAAACAAAGCATGGGTTGGGGGCGGGGGACTATTATTTCTGCCATAGGTGGAAATGTGCATTTTTAGTTTTTTTTGTTTTTTTTTAAGTTTGCTTTTCTATGTTTGCAGCTTGATTATCATTTTAGGCTGGGTCGACCCTTTTCCACGCCTTTAGGCGTATAGGGCATATAGGGCAATACCTATATTTTATAGACCGATCAGCCCAAGATGCGTGATGTGGTCAGCATAACGCCGGCCGCCTATACTTCCCGGGACTGCACCCGGTACCCACTAAAAGCTGGTTCGATCTGGGAGACGGTCATTTTTGAAAAACATCTGGCTCCACCAGGGAGCGAACCCACGACCTTCCGATCCACAGGAGAGCGTCTAGCCGCTCCGCCACGGCGACTGGTCGACATGATAGCGAAAGTCAATTAACCCTGGATGCTAATTCAGACCCTAGACATTTAGGTCTACAGCCAAGCCGTGGCTGTGCATCTGGAAGAAGCAAAATGTCCTGGCACTAATCACATTCCTTTAGATAAAAGTCCAGCTGGCAGCAAATTATGGGAAATCCTCGCTGGCAACTGAGAAAGGTGCCGGGTTATTATTGGAATGTCCCGATTGCAGTCTTGGCTATTCCTGATTTATTTATTGATACATACAAGCCTGCTTCAGGACTCGTGAAACCTGAACGCCATTGCATCAGAGATTGAGGTTTTGAACAACGGATCAACATCATGACACACGGGTAGTAACCCATAAGTTCTTCCTTCTACTTCTAACGCAAGTCTGAGTCAGAAGAAGCCCAGCACAGTGCACCGGCAAGGATCCTGAAATATTTTTAGTAAATTTTTTAACTCCAAACTTTGCCCGGGCAGGGTCGTTATACTGCTCTTTTCCATTTCCAATTGCCAAGGGATTTTTTACGTGCGCAACAATGCACACGGGCGTCCAATCTCACTACCCAGAGACCAGGGAATTACTATAAGTCTTAAGTCAACGTGAACAAATCCCAGCTCTTACCTGGGATTGAACCCAGAACTTCTAGCACTCGAGGCGGACACCATGCCTCGAGACCATACAGCCCCCTCCATCAGAATTTAAACACACAATAATACAGATGAGTCTTTAAAAACACCAACAACAGCACAGAAGGAGGCTGCATTGAGGGAGACAGCTGTACGTTTTTTCAAATTCTCTTTCGTTGACCACTTTCAGCTAGGTCCGCTCACATTTCTGCTCAATTTCCTTTCAGCTATATTTGTGGTGACAGTTTATGGCCTCGACTTATTGATTTTGGATTGTGTTCAATATTGTTGCTTTTCTATTTGTTGTGGTTTCGCTCTTGCTGTTGACTTTGTAATTTGCTGGCTCTGTGCTGCACTCAAGATGATTGGCTGTTGAATCAGATTTATTGTGGTATTCCTTGGCTGTTTGTTGTTTCTGGGGAAAGTAAACTGCCTATCCTATAAGGACGTCGGCGATGACATCCTGGGCAAGGTACTGATGGACAATACTGGTGAGGTCTGGTAACTATTTCTGGTTGCTTTTTGTGATTTGGAGTTTGGTGTTAGATTTTGCTATTGGCGTTTTTTTTTGTTTGTTTTGTGTTGTTTTGTGTTTCTGTGGTGATTGTTCCTTTTTGTTCTTTGTTTTGTGTTTGATGTTTGATTTTCATTATTTATTATTGTTTTGATTTGTTTTTTTGATGTTTTGTTGATTTTTAGTCTTTTGTTTGTGCGGTTGTGTTTGTGTGATATTGTGTTTGTTTTGTATTTGTGTGTTTGTTTGTTTGATACTAATGTTATTTTGATTTTTCTGTTGATTTTGTTTTTTTTGTTATGTTTTTTTTGTTTTATTTTGTCTGTGTTTTTTTTTTTTTGTGTATGCCTAAATTTTGTTTGGTTTTTTTTTTTGTTTGTGTTTATTTTATCCTGTTTATTTTTTTGATATGTATATTGTTATTTTTTATTTTTGTTATGTAGTTTAATTATTGGTTTCTTTTTTGATTTGTTTTTTTTTTTGTTTTATTTTGTGAATGTTTTTTGTTTTCTTTTGTGTGTTTTTTTGTTTGTTTGTTTTTTGTTGATAGTTCATGTTATTTGTGTTTGTATTACTGTTTTTCGTGTTTTCGTTGATTGTGTGGGTGTGTATTGTGGGATGTTTTTGGTGTAAATTATTGTGTAAGGTTTGTTATTGTGTTGTGATTTTTGTAGTGTTGTTTTTTTTTTGTTTGTAATAATCATTTGGTGTTGTGTGGGTGGTGGGGTTTGGTTTGATTTTGGTGATTTTGCGGGGTCTGTTTTGTTTTTTTTCTGTGAGGGTGGGTGTGGTTGGGTGGGGTGTGTGGTGGTTTTGTGGGATGAATGTTGGTTTGGTTGTTTTTGGGTGTGTTTGGTTGTACTTGTGTCCGACTTTAGTGGTTGTTGGGGATGTTGCGGTTGGGTTTGGTCTGTCTTGTTGTGTATAGGTGTTTGTTTTAGGTTGGTGTAACGTCTTTCTTGTTGTTTGTGGTTTTGTTTGGGGGGTTTTTTTTTTGATCGGTTTTGGTGCGTGTTCCTTGGGGGTTGTGGTGTTTGCGATGTGGCGTGGTGTTGGTGTTTGGTAGTTCGATTTTTGTGTTGGTTGGGGTTTCTTGTGGCTTGTTGTGTGTTGAGGTTTGGATGGTGGGTTGTTTGGTTGATGGGTTGTGGTGTTTGCTTATTGGTCTGTTGTTTAAGATTTTGTGTGGATTTGTGTTGTTTTTTTGTTTTGGTTTTTGTTGAAAATTTTTTGGTTGGGGTTGTGTGTGTTTTTGACGTCTTTGGATGTATGTTTTGGTGTTTCGATTTTGTTTCGGGGTGGTTATAGGGTCGGGGTGGTTGTTGTGTATCGTCTTGGTTGTGTTTGGGTCATTGATGTGTTTTGTGTGTGTTTGGGATTCTTGTGTGTTTGTGTGTTTTTTGTTTTTGTGTTTGTTGTGGGGGGTGATTCTTGTGTTGGTTGGTTGTGTGATTTTTTCTTTTGGTTGTTGTCTTTGTTTGGCTGTCTTTTTGTTTTGTTGGTTTGGGTGGTTGTTTTGTTTTTTTAGCTGTGTGATGTTTCTTCTGTTGGTTTCATTTTTGTTTGTGATTGCACTTGTTTTTTATTGATTTTGTGTTTTTTTGTTGTGTCTTTGATTTATTGTTTGTTGTCTTGTGTTTTCTTGTGTTTGTGTTTTGTGATGATTGATGATTGATGTTTTTTTATTTTGTGATCTTGGATGTGTTGATTTTTTCCTTAGTTTCTCTGTTTGATTTTGATTGATGTGTTTTGTTTTCGTGTGTCTTTTTCGGTGGTTTGATTTGTTTGGTTTCTGTTTTCGTGGTTTTTTGATTGTGTGATTTGTTTTTGGATGTTGATAGTTGTTTGTTGTTGGGATTAGTCGGATTTGTGTTGTTTGTATTTGTTGTTGTGTTGGTGGTGGTGTTTGTGTGTTGTTTTGGTTGTTTGTAGTATTTGGTGTTTGTGTAGTTACTTATGTTTTTTTGTATTGTGTTTTTTGTGTGGTGTGTGTCTTTTGTGATTTGCTTTTGGCATGTGTTTTTGTGTTGTGTTGTGATTGTGTAGTTTGGTTGTTTTGTTGATTTGTTTTTCTCTGTTTTGTTTGTGTGTGATCTGTTTTTGTTGATTTGGTTTTGTCTTGACTGTAATGTTTTTGTAGTTGTGTGATTTTGTGCTTTTTTTTTTTGTTTTTGTGTTTGATTTGATTGTTTGTGATTTGTATGTGGTTTTGTTTTTCTTTTGTTTTGTGTGTTGTATGTTTTGTGATGTGTGTTGTTTTTTTGTGTTGTGTGGGTCGTTTTTTGTTTTGTTGTTTTTTGTGTGTTTTTTATTTCGTTGATTTTTTGTGTGTGTTGTGTTTGATTTGTTGTGTCTTTTTGTTGTGTTGATGATTTGTGATTGTTTGTGGATTTGCGTGTTTTTGTTGTTTGTTGTGTTTTGGATTGTTTTCTGTTGTTGTTTTTGTTCTGTTGTGACTGTCTTTGATTTGTTGTTGTTGTAGTTAGATTGCGTGTTTGAGTGTTTGGATTTTATTGTTGATTGTTTTGGTGTTTTGATTTTGTTTGTTTGAGGTGTTCGGATTGTGTTGATATGAATTGTGCTTTGTGTGATGATTTTTGTTTTTGGTTTTGTGGTTTTGGTTGTTTTTTTGTTTATTTTGTGTGGTGTTTGAGTGCGTGGTGGTGTGTTGTTTTGTTTGTTATGATGTCTGTGACCTGTGTATGTTTTGTTGCGAACGATTGATTGTTTGGCTTGGTGTTTAATTTGTTGTTGTGGACTGATTTTTAGATTGAATTTTGTTGATTTTTTGTGATTTGTGTTGATTGTGTTTGCGTTGTTAGTTTTTGGTTGGGATTGTCGTTGATTGTGAGGTGTTGTAGTTGTGGTGCCCTGATATTGTTGTGATTTCCGCATCATGGTTGTAAAGTAATGCTTTCCTTACATAGGTTTCGGCAATTTGGCCTCTGTGTGTCGTATGTGGTTTAGTGTCTTGGGTAACGGTGTCGACCTCGTTTGACTTCAGGTTTTGCTGTGCAATATGGTTCCTCTGGTGATGACCAAAGAACTTCATCATCTAGCAGACTATGAGTTAAAGACGTTCGGGTCCTCCAGCTTCAATGATGTGTTGATGTATTTGGTCAAGAAGTGCCAACGGAAACTGTTATCACAGCGGCGTTGGAGTTTTTCTTATCTGGTGTTTGAAGTGCTGTTCTGGTTTTCGGTCTCACTGTATTGCTGCCTTCTGGTTGCCTCTTTCCGAGCTATCTCTCTTTCTTCCATCACTCTGTTGGTTGCTTGCATCATTGTTAAGCCTGTTGTTTTCTGTCGCATGCTTATCGTAAACCTTTCTCTGTGTCAGCCAGTGCTTCTTGATCATTGCGGACTTTCTTTCGCGAGAGTTGTTGGTTATCCCGCAGATCATTGATGCCCCGCCTCGTCTTCCCTTGCTTTAGTTGGTTGTTCCTTTTGTGTCTGGATAGTGGCCAGTGCATTCATGATGTCCTCCTTGAATTTCGTTCATCTCTGCTGTCATCACGTTTCTGGGTGTCAAGAGTCGCCTGCATTATAGCTCTCAGGCCTGTTATTTACATCTCTGTCTTCATCTCGTTGAGATTTGGATGCGTACTTCTCGTCTCTGAGAGCTTGGATGTCCACTTTTTGAGTTGAGCCACCTCTTTGCTCAATTTGGTGGTAATGGCTGCAGTTATGCCTTGGGTTGTTTCGTAGTCTTCTGCGGGCCTCATGGTATGGAATCTTTTCCCGTATGGCCGTGGGTTGCTATTTCTCTCAGCAGCAGATGTTGCAGAACTCAAGGCAGCAGATCAGAAGGATACCCTAGTAAGGGACCCCAGGTACTTGGTGCTGGTGCTGGCCGTAGCAGTTTGGCGCACTTCCTGATTCGTATTGGAAGACCTAAAGTCTGTGTCCAGCTTTGCCAGCGGGCAATTGTTAAAGGCATGGGGTTTGTGAACAGTATCGGCATACTTCATGTTTCGCTCACACAAGTGGCCCGGGAGTGCCAATGCTTTTTGTGCAACGAGAGCACTGGATCACCTGTGGGGACG